TTTCTTTCGCAATAATTTTTAGAGCGTAGCAAAAAACATAAAAATAAATTACACAAAAAAAAATAATTTATTCAAGCAACTCTGTAGTGCATGACATAGTGTAAATGATAAAAAGAGAATGCAAAGTTTGAAGTTCAATTTAATTCAGATTAGAATATTACTTTGTTAGCATTTTACAGTTACAATTTCTATTTTATGAGTTTTGCGCAAATGAAAGTTCGGAGTGAAAGCTCGTTCAAGAGATTTTTTCAAAGTATTTTTCCACATGTTATTTAAAATGGTTTTACTCTCAAGGTATTAAAATTGCAAAAGCTTTCATTGCAAGCTTGATTATTATAATATAAAAATTTGCGAAAAATCAACTTGAAAGTTCTGAAAAATTTGTTGAAAAATGCATTATTTAATGCTAAAAATATCGGGCTCAACTTGAAACTTTTATTAAAATGTGTTGATATTTATTTTAAGTATGAGTACAAAAATCGAGCTTTCATGATTGAAATTTCCTTTTGAGAAGTTCACGTTTTTCTGCTAATGTAGTTTCCGGATCTTACGATTACTTTATATAAATTTTAAAATAAAAGCAATACTGTTGACTATAAAAAATGTTTGCACTCGACATGAAAGCTTACGAACCTTGAAATTATATAATGAAAAACCTTAAAGCTTAACTTGAAACCTTTACTCAAAGCTAATGAACATGAAATTCAATATTTCAAGAACTATTTCATTATTGAAATTTTTCTTTTTGTGCAAAAATGAACGCTTCTCTGCTTTTGTAGTATCAGCATCGACCTAACGCTTATGATATGAAACGCTGAAATGCTTAAATTGACAGCTTTACCCCCATTACTTTAAAAAATACGTAAGCTCCACATGTAAGCTTTGTGTAATTTGATAAAGTTCTTCTATATTTGCTCCACGATTATATTATTGTAAATTGTGAAAGCTTACGAGTTTTATTCGAGAATTATAAAAATTATGGAAAACTACTGTCTTTGAGAATGTTCTTTTGCTTTATATTTTTTCAGCGCAAAAATATGGAGTTGCTTAATAAAATTCATATTATTGTGTAAAAAAATTGTAAGAGTTATGTAAAAAGATAATGAAATCGTTATATAGTACCATAATTTTGAAATTCTCAGGGAGCAACAACAATTCGATGAAAAAAAGTGTTTTACAATACAAAATTATTTTTAATTTTTTTCTTTAATTAATTTTAATTTAAAAAAATTACACCTTATATTGACGCAAAGAAATTAATTAATAATACAATTTCATTTATACTTTTATTGCCCATAAATAAAATGAAATAACGATTTGAATTTGGGCTTTCCTTTATTTCCGCATTTCGACAACATTTCCATGCGCGTCGAATTATTCATCAAAAAGCATATTTATATTTAGATGAAACGATAAATAAAAACATTAAACGCATACAAATTTGTATTATAATGTTGTGCGTATAAATAAAAGGTTTATTTCACGTTTTTAATTTCTCGAAAGACTTCATTTGAACAAGAATTGCTAATTTATATGATTTTCGTCATTTTCTCGCAATTTTTTTAAAGGGAAATTTTGGCATACACCACATTGCGCTTTCCTGTGAATTTGTGCTCAGTTTTGAAAATTTTTGCTAATAAATCAGTCATGATTTTATTGTTTTTATGCATTCGTACATACATATGGCCGCCTTCGAAATACGGTCTTCCACAGCAAGCCATTCAAAGGCGAAAGCGAAGTGAGTTGATTGTGGTTAACTTTGTTGTTTTATTTGTATTTTTATTTTTATTTTTATTTTTATTTTTATTTTTATTTTTATTAACTAGACTCGATTTCGAATTTCACACGCACTTTGTCGTTAATTCAAATGATTGACCCTCGTCAGCGGTAACGTTGCATGAATGCGTAAAATGTATGAAAATTTGGTTCCTGTTTGTAAGACGTATAAACTCCCCTACACTAATGTGCAATAACAAAAAAAAAATTAATAAATATAATACAATAAAGTAAAAAAAAGAAAATATGTAATAAAATAAAATAAAATGAAATGAAATAAAATCAAAAGCACAATACAAAATAAAATCAATTAAATAAAATAAGATAAAATAAAATAAAATATTAAAAGCTAAAATAAAATAATACAAAATAAAATAAAATAGAATAAAATAAAGTAAAATATTGTTCAAAAATAAAATAAAAAAAATAAACGAAATGAAGCTACCTTAATTAAATAAAATAATGTAAAATAAAATAAATAAAATAAAATAAAATAAAATAAAATAAAATAAAATAAAATAAAATAAAATAAAATAAAATAAAAGAAAAGAAAATAAAATAAAATAAAGTGAAAATAAATAAAATTGGATCAAATTAATTAAAATAAAACCATTTTTTAATAGCACATTTTTTAAAGGCACAAAATTTTATTAGTTTTGAACTTATTTTTTTGTTTAAAAATTTTGTTATTATAAAAAATGTACTAAAAGTTTGCTGTCAATTTTATTTCATATATTTTATGTTTTTATTAATAGTTTTTTAGATTATTTCACATCCTATTTATTGGACTTTTTTCAGTAATAAAATTTTTCTATTTTATGACTAGTTCTTAGGCTGGCATAAGAATCGCAAATCACGTAGCCACCTTCTGGCGTATAACCATCGAAAAAATTTCGAAAATTTCCATCTAATAATAACATATAGCACATATTATACATATTCGTACATATGTATATGTATATGTTTGTAGTTACACAATGTTTATATTTTATTTGTTTTTCTTTTATAATATGTGCAATCGTCAAATAATAAAACATTGTTGTTTGGTAATTTTCCTTGAATGATCTTCATTGATAAACAACGGTGTCATGGGGCACTTTGGCTGGCTGTTGTTAGCAAAATATTGTGTGGGTGTTTTCTAATTTTAGCCAATTCATCTGATTTTCAAATACTAATTAAATAGCAATGTGCCTTTTGTGACTTTAATGCATTGAAAATATCCATATACATAGTGAATGATGTTACCAAAATAAAATTTTTATTAACTTTCGCCTTCGGTCAACACAAGCACACCCAAGCACAATCGCATGAGTCACATGAGTCAACCGAATGATTCGATGAGTCAATAAGTTTGATTGGCATCATTTCTTATTGTCGCCTATCGCCATGTATTGTAATTATTCATAATACCAAATATGTAGTTACAAAACAAAAACAAGCAGCTGTCAAACATCACTAAAATGTCACTTTCTTCGCTGACGTCGTTGCTGATCACGACCAAAATTCATTTAACAGCGCATCAACTCTTTCTTTCGCTCTTTTCAAACACGTTGCGCGCTAGTCGCATCGTCGCATTGTCTCATCTTCATTAATTCGTTATGATTGAGATTTTCGAAAAACAACACGACAACATTGTACCAGCTCGTACCTGGCGCCTACGACATAACCAACAAATTTCTTCAAATGTTTTTGGATTTATTTTTTTCTCTTTTCGCTTTTTAGTTTATTGTTTTCTTTACTGATTTTGTCAATTTCGTTTTATTGCATTTTTTCTAAACAACCATGAGCTTATACATAAGTGGTTACCGGTTAGTAAGCGTCTACTACTATCACGAGTTGAATGAAACGCCTGCGCAGCTCCGTGCTTTTTATTGTTCATTTTTATTATTATTGTTTTATTCATTTTGAATTATGAGCTGTTTGAATCACAATTTGTGAAGAGCGTAAACAATTTTTAACGCTTTATTTTCTTAATGTTTTTATTTGGTTTCCGTTTTATTGATGTTATTTTTTTAAATTTTTTAATTTTATTTTTTTAATATATTTATAAATCATTTTTCTTTAATTTTTTTATTATTTTTTTTTTTTTAATTTTTTTATAAATCATTTTTCTTTAATTTTTTTATTATTTTTTTTTAATTTTTTTATAAATCATTTTTCTTTATATTGTATTAAGTATCTATTTTTTCATAACTTGCTTTCTTTTACATTTTTTTATCAAAATATATTTTCTTAAATTTTTTTCTTCAATAAATGTTTGTTATTAATTTTTCTCATAAAATTTCTTCTATTTATTTCCTAATTTTTTACTAGTCTTTTTTGTTTAATTTTTTAATTTATTTTTTTTTTCTTAATTTTTTTATTCATATATTTATTTTCTTTTTAACTTTGTCAATTTTTTCCCTACTTTTTATTTATTTTTATTTTTTTCTACTTTTTTAAATTTTTTTAAACTTTAAACTTTTTTTACAATTTATTTATTTTCCCAAATTTTTTATTTTTTTATATGTTTTATTTCTTTTACATTTTTTTTTTAATTGTTCTTTAATTTCTTTGTTAATATTTTTTTCTCAATTATTTATTTCTTCCTTTTTTATGTTTTAATTGGTACTTTTTTCTTAAATATTTTTTTTTTTTAATTTTATATTTTTTATTTTTTTTCATATTTTTTCGCTTCATTTATACATATTGCATAATTTTTTTAATTTTCGTATTTTTATTTATTTTTTTTACAAAATTTTAACTGCTTTTTCTTAACTTTTTAATTTTTTTCTAACCTCTTTTATTTTTTTCCTTAACGTTTAAATTTTTTTATTGTTTTTTTATTTTTTTTTAATTTTTTTATTTATTTTTTAAATTTTTTTATTTTTTTTTTAAATCTTTTATTTTTTTTTCTTAAAATTCTTTTCATTTTTTCCGTAACCTCTTTTATTTTTTCCTTTAATTTTTGAATATTCTTCTCATTTATTATTTATTTTTTTCTTATTTTTTTGTACATTTTTTTAATTTTTCTAGATTTTTTTATATATTTTATTTCATTCTTAATACTTTTTCTTTAATATTATTTTTTAATCACTTTTCTTTTCTTTTTCTAATTTTCTTCATTTATTTATCATTTTTTTCAAATTTTTCAATTTGTTTGTTTTTGATAATAACAAATTCCGTTTTCTAATTAATGACGTTATACAGTTATTTTCATTCTATTAGCTCTTTGTTTTTTTGTGTTTTATTATTATTATTTTTGTGCATATTTTTTATATCCATTTTTGGGATACACGGCAGCTTATGTGTTCTCTTTGTTTTTTTGATTTATAAATGAGCTCACCCCTCACAAGCTTTAATATGCCATAAATAATTTGTTATTGTTTTTGATTGTGAACAAAAGTAAATTGCGAATAAATAAGTACTTAAAAGCCTGATAATCAATTCCCTGTAGACATAAAAACAAAACAAAAAGATTAGATTGAAAAATTGTATGCTATCCCTTCCGCAATCATGACATGTGTAGCTTTTCTTTATAAATAAGATAAGATTGGACTTTGAGCAAGCAAATTTTTAGGAGGAAATTGCTTTGGTCATAGACAATTTTGAAGAGGAAATGACACAGCGTGATCGCTTAGTAAGTGCAAGATCGTTTTCTTCCTGCTCTTCATTTCTGCAGATTTTACATAAACTTTTGAAAGGATTTCGGAGCTTTCTGCAGGTCATGCTATAGAGTAAAATCTATGAATTGTCTTCCTTTTTTTCAATGAATATAAGCCTGTTTCGGACAGTTTTACGTCAACTTGCGATAGTTCAAATTTTGTTTCCACCTTAACGCGATCTATCCTAACAAATTACTTTGCGCTGCAGTTACCCTCAGGCTAATAGTATATTTCGAGAGCTGCGGCAGTCGAGTATGATTCTAGTGTTTGTCGTAAATGAGCTTTGAGCTTTTATTTAAACCTTACGTTCACAGAATATGTAGATGACTCTTCCTGAGTACTTACTTCTAATGTGTTTAACAACCGCCAGATTACTAACCCGTAAGAGTGTATTGACCTTACCACAGACATAATAATCCAGCAGCGGATTTAGGGTCTTAAGGAACTTTTTTTACCGGTAGCTCTTTTTCAGGCAAAAAGAACGGCTGAGGCTTCCTCATATCACTGAGTTATATGCATATAAGAGTTACGTTTCCCTTCTCGAATGATTTATTTAAGATTTGACATCTAAATTTTCTAGTGCAGATCTTCAACCATCTTTCATTGCTTTTCAGGAGCTTCTCAATGAATAAAATCAGTTTGTTCAGTACAGTTTCTGTTCATTTGCCATTTTGGTATGCATGGTGGTCAAATACAAATAGTACATGGCTCAAATTTAAGCATGCCTAAAAAAATACTCTAAGCTTCTTTCAAGCTCATCTCAAATCTATTTTAACTTGACTTTGAATTTGTAAATAAATTTCATAAATTTTCAATAAATAGAGATTTTCTCACCAAAATCGTAGGAACCTTACTTTTCTTCGATATTTAACTTACCTGAAAAGTAAAAAAGAAAAGAGAAATTAATAAATTTGGTAAGTAAAAAGTAGTGCAGTCTAAATATGAAAAAACTAAGCTCAAAAGTTGGAATAAAATCACGGAGAGGTTAAAAAATATATTTTCTTAACGAGTAAAAGTAAAAAGATGCACAAATAGGCAAAATATTTGCGAAAAACTGGTCATTTATATTAAAAGTCGCACTTCAAAGGTATGATTTCGGAACTGAACCTTATTGAAACTATAACGAGTAAAGAAAACTGTTTATTAAAGCATGAGATTACTACATAAAGCAGGGAAAGAGTGAGAAAGAGAGAGAGCGTTTCTCATTTGAATTTGCAATTTACAATGGCTTTAGTTAAGCAGAGCGCACCTGAAGCACACTTGAAGCATTCTAAGTTGAATTTTCATCCAAAGGCTCCAAACGAAATTTGGAAATCTTGGAAGGATTGAAACTTACATAGATGATTCTACTAAGAACTCTTTGTTTGAGAAACAAACAAACAGCAGCCAAAGTGCATCAGAAAGTATAATCTAGAGCTGCCGTAAAGGAAATATCATCTCCTTTTCCAAAACAAAAACCTCCAACAAAATGAAGAAAGCTGACTCATCACAGCCACGAGCGCCAGCTCAGATAATACTGCAATCCTACAAGTAGCAGTGAACTTCATAAGCAACTTTAAAAATATCTTTAAAATGCAACAGAGCATGGAAACACCGCCTGAAAAAGAGAAGCAAGAAGGTATATTATAATTGCAGAATCAGTCAAGAGAAAAATGTTCCGCACTCTTCTTCATATGTGAAGGAAGCACACTCATGCATTCCACGCACCACATTAATCCATAGCGAAAAGGCACATGAATACATCACATTTAACATGCGAGGAATTCCAAAAAGATTGAAACAGAAATACATCGATACTCAACATATGAATGCCACAAGTAATTTAAATGCTTTAAAAGCATTTACCAATGGAAGGAATGCAGAAGCAAAAACTAATTTGCTGCGGAATAAAAATGAAAATAAAAATAAAAGAATTGAAAAAGTCATTAACTCAAAAAGGAATTATTGACACATCGTGCATGAACGAAAACGACTTGCGACTGCGGGAAAGCGCTTGGCAACAAGAGGAAGGAAGGAAGGAAGGAAGGAAGGAAAACATTAAATGATTAGCCGGCAGAGAATTGGCGCGCAAATAACGATGCCACATTCATACATATACATATACAGATACACATTTCACATGCTTCATTCACCGACCCAAGCGATGAGTAAGTAAGAACGAATATTGAAAATGATGTTGCGAAAAATAAACTAAAAATAATAATATATGTGGAAAAAACTGCAAAAAATGCGCATATAAGGAAAGATAGTTATAATTGGCAATAATAAGTGGTGAAACAGCAAATAAATAGAAGATGTATCAAAGGCGAATAAAATAAAACGCTACACTCTGCTTCATAAAATACATTTATAATTAGTAATATATAAATTTAAAACCGAAAATTATATTTTTTTATTAGGTTTTATTGCTTGTTTGATTAAAAAATAATAATCTATAATAAATAACTCAAAAAAAGAAATAATAATAATTTCTAAGCACTAGCTACGTTTCTAAAAATATTTTTCCTTTTTCGGTTGATGTGAAATAAAAAGAAAAAATTCCAATTGAAATATCAGCTCTGGGCGTTTTCTGGGCCATTAAATTGAAGATCCCAAAGGTAAGTAAAAAACTTTATTACTTTTTAATTGTTTATAAGAACTGTTTTGATGGCAACATGCCATGTATTATAAATATTAAAAAAACATAAATTTTTTCATTTTTATATTTAAATTCTTTACTTTTTAGTTTACCTGGGAATAGCTGCTGCAGTTAAAAATAAAATTAATAAAAAGAAAAAATACCAATGCAAAGATTTTTATTTAATACCTAAAATATCAGACAAATCTCAAATGGCCCGTGGAAACAACAAAGAAAATACATTTGTAAAAATAATAATAATTGTAATAAATGAAATAAAAAGAAAAAATTATGTCAGCATTAATAATTAAAATATGCAGAATACACTTCCCAATTGGCAAGTTAAAAGTTAATTGCTTTTTAATTGATTTAAAAATATACTTTTTTATTAATATATGTATGTATTGGAATCAGTCCCAATACTTAATTGTTACACCTCGTACATGAGCACATTCTCACCAAATATGATCAACCTCTGTCTGTCACATATTTACTGCTTTATTGTCACCTCCCACTCTCTGCTTTTTCGACATTTACTCGTCTTATTACCAAACAAACCTTTCTTCAAAGCTTGGAGCTATAATAGACAATGCCCCTTTAATAGTTCTACTAGCAGGCTGTATTATAACCCCCTGAACTCATTAAACTTTGCGTAATAAGCATAATTTTCCCTACACAACACCCTCTTGGTGGTTCCCAAAGTCTCTAAAATGGACCATACAAGAGTGTTTCTTGTTCATGTTTCACGATCCTGAGAGGAACCAGCAATTCTATATTTTTGTCCTGCCCTGAAGTGCCTCTTGAACGCCCTCTTACATAGTACGACGACTATCGGCTTCGTAATGTCTGAAAGTAAGACCCTAGTGACTTCCCTATGTATAAATATGAGTTCTTCTTATGTACTTTCTGCGGTGACTCTTTACACTTTAAGCAGGTAAGGCTACAAATTATTTTTGAAACAAACTTCTTCTACCTACTTCCACTCAAATTATCTATAATCGCCCAAAAAATGCCGTTATTTTCGCACTTAAATTAACAACAAGTTATTAAGTCATAACTCATTTTTTGGACAAAGACGATAAAAACGATGTAGGCTTAAGCAAAAAAGCTGCCATATTAATTGCTCAAAAGAAACAAGGGACACGGCAGGCCACAAATAAACTTCAAACTGGTTTCTTAAAAAATTAAAAAAAAAATTTTAAAAAAAAAATTCAAAAAAAAAATTAAAAAAAATGACACCAATGATGACGTGACAATGGCAACATTGTCATGATGTCACTATTGCCGAATTAAAGTATGACCAACTGGTCAGCGCTGTTGATGACAACATTTTCGCTGCACAGACGGCATTGCTACCTGTGATATATGGATGCGTGTATGCGTGTATGTATGTACATATATACAATATATGAATTTGTTGCCCATAAAAGTTTACAACTATAAAGCATTGGAATGATATTGAAAACAAAAAGAAACGTTTCGAAAACATTTTCAATTGTGTCACAAGCAGACTAAGGTAGCAACAACGGTTATGCATACAACAAAAACAAGGAGTTTTTTTCTCTTAAACGCCAACACAATGTGGAGCGCAAAAAAAAAACATACATAAATTCACAACTTCAACGGAAATTTACGATATGAAAAATTATAATGAACAGACATATATATACATATATATATATATATATATATATATATACACATACATGTAAGTATGAGTGGCACATATGGATGTAGCTTCATTTGTACTCGCAAACTGCAAACTGGTTGAGAAAGAAGTGAAAGTTTACAGTCACTTGATTAAGTACTCTTTCTTCTGCCACACCAACAAACGTACAGTAGGAAAGAAAACGGCTCATACATACATACATACATAAAAGCAAACATACTCGTAAAATGCCAAAAACAAACATATTTGAAATGCATGTAACGAACGAATAAAATGTGCTACTTGAAATCACAATGCAATCTTCAATACGAACAACAAAATGGGGAAATTACAATAACTTGGATAGAGAAAGAGTTGTTGAACGTTACATGTGTGTGTATGTAAGCGGTTAAATGTGTGCAGCCAAGTGGAAAAAATGGGTTTGTATCCATTTCGATATGTGAAAAAGTGGCATAAAAATTAAGCGTCTTCAAACGATAGAGGGAGAGAGAAAGAGAGAGAAAGACAGAAAGGAGAAATACTATAATTTTTATACAACGACATTTTGACTTGATGGGCAAAGGAAACAAAAAATAAAACAAAAAAAAAAACAGCCAAGATACACGCCAAGTTGGCAAGCGAAATGAAGATTATATCTGCATGCCAACAAAAGCCGCAGAAACGACATGACGCCACCACCAACGTCTGATACCAGCACCAGCACCACCACCGTCATCGAAGAGGAGTTGGTTATGTAAAGTATATTGGCTAAGAGAAAAGTGAAGATGCAGATGAAACAATAAACCACTACCATGTGTTTGGGAATTATGTGATGGCAAAAACAATTAAAAAAAAATATATATACAAATATGTAAAAGACATGATGTTAGACTCAAAGTACAAGCAGCATTTCGATGATATTTTTTTCATTTTCTAAATAAAAATATTCCACAAAGCAATAATATATGATTTTTTTAAGCTTTCAACTACAGGCAAATTTCAAAGATTGCAAAAAACAACAAAATTTTTATTCTTCAAAACGCCTACCAATTGCTATGATTTATGGCACATCCCTTGCCTGGCTGAATTAAAATATCTTTTGTATTTTTATTTTCGACGCAAACGATTTTTATAACAACACAAGCTAAAATTTTTTAGTGGAAAATGTAGCGGTTCTTTTACGCCAACGAGCTGAAAGCCTTTTTCATTTCCACAAACGCGAAGTGTTTTCCGTTTGTTTATCAGTCCTTTTGCTGTAAATTAATTATTTAATCGGCAAATTATTACATTAAATGTTTTCAAAATATATTTTTTTTATTTCCCTAAATGCTATTAAGTAACGCTCTTTGTAGTTTCGCTTAATTGCCTACAGTTTTTTTCATTTGTCTCAATTTAAATAAATCACATTTTTTTCAAAATTTATTTCTTTTTAAACAACCTGCGGACATTTCCCCAAAAATATTTTTTACTCTTTAATAATAACAATTTTTTTCTGGTTTTGTGTATGTTTTTTATTGATATAATTTAATGAAACTGCCGGCAGCCAAGGTCCTAGCATCAAACATTGCTTTAGACGATTTCCATTAGAAAAAAATATATTCTTTAATATTA